CGAATTCTTGGTCACATATTGAGGCCAATCTCTCATTGCAGCTATCTTAGTCAGATCTATATAATCCATTTTTACCTAGAATTTGACTGAGAAATTCCACTGCTATACTTATCAAAGAACACTTCCCTGGTTTCACTTTCAAGCCTGTTATATTTATCTACTGGAATACCACTCTTAGGTTCTCATCAGCAGACTCAAATTTGCGACCAATCACCGAAACATTATTGATGTAGATCAGACATCTCTCCCATTGTAGTCGCTTCAGTGTAAGCTCCATTGGCCTCTCGAAAGTGATGAGTGTATTACACACGGCCAACAGTACGATTTAAATTCATACAAACAATGACAATCACTACTTGAAAGACCTGTCCTTTAACTGTATTTCAGTGTATTTATGTACTGGCAACGTCCCTACTATTACAGGGAAGCTGGATCAATGGCTGTTTTATTGAAAGACTATCAACTGTATCTATGTTGTTCAACCCAATCACCCATAAATACATCAGTATAGTTAACCAGCAAATTACAGAGTTGCTTTCACTGTAGTGGATCTAAATTGTTTTGCACAATCCTCAATCAACAACCTTTGATATGTTGTCAAGGTGTGACATTACTACTAGCATCAGTTACTTCCATTTTCCTCAATTTGCCTATAACAATTCCAGTGTACAACTGGATAGCTGATCACCAATAATTACAAATCATAATTACAAACCAACTCTGGGACTTCATTCCTTGAGAAGCACATAACTATCTGACCGAATGCCCAAGAAAACAGTTTATTTCATGCATGGCTGCTATAGCTGCATTACATTGTAATGAGACACCACTTGCACATACATAGGTACTGTTATTCCCTCTGCTACAGACACTCATGCAGTCCATTGATCTTGAGTTCGATTTGAATAACGTCAAATACTTCTCCCATAAAACATCAAGTCTCTTGCTACACAAGCAAACCCGGCAGATGATTTCTGTAGTATATCCATTTCGAAGATACCAATATCAGATCCGAGACTGGAAAGGATTATTTGGTTTGGTGAGTGGCATTTCCTAGGCAGAGCCAGAGAGCTTCCTCTCCTCTAGCATTTACTAGAACAAAGTCAGTATCCACTGGTCAGAGTTGTGGTGAGCTTAAAATATTGCGAAGTATATCAGTATTCTGGCTGCTCCTGTGTCAACCAGAAACTCAAACACTCGTACTTGTACCCTCACAGGCATGTATCAACTCCAACCAGCACTGAGAGCTGGGCCAGCCATTAAACTCTTCAGTGAATGTAGGTTGCTGTACTCTCCAACTTGGGCTCCATTAGTTTTATGGTTTTTTTGCTATAGTATCCACTACTTTTTGCTGGTTGTTGTGGATCTGCTGAACAGGTAGACAGTGCAAATAGCCATGCTTATGCCTATTTCGTTGACTGAAAAAGTATGAGCACTGTTGGTTGACTGACACTTACTGAGTTATTGGCCGGAACCAATACCCCTGTTATCTATGTTGACTAGGAAAGTACAGACAATTCATTCGTCAGTGCCCTACCAGGCCAGAAACAAAGCAAATGTTTCTCTCTTTCTATCTTGGATTACATGGATGTCAGCAACATCATCAGAACTTATAGTGCCATATACCCTATGGGTGGAGAGCCCTGCTCTTTCACTGGAAATCAGTGTGATTGCATTGCAGTACCAAGATGTGTGGATGATTGGTTAACCCTTAGTGTGGCTCTAGCTTAACATGGTGAATGTACCCTAGAAAATATGTCTATCCGAAATGTAGCCTCTGCAGTTATCGCTTTAGGTTTTTTCCTCTCTTACAACTGACTTGAAGTTACTACTTCATGCTTAGTCACAGCAGAAACTGTCTTTGTCAAGGTGAACTTGTCCCTGAAACTTAGATATTCCATCATGGCTTTTCTGGAAAGTCTCTCAATGAACTTGTCCACAAGTATGCCCTCTTAATCTGCAGGTGCCATTGCTAGATAGGCCTTACCATATAATCAGCACAGATTATCCAGGTAAGAAACCAGACTCTTGGTTCCTGTGCACTTCAGGAGCCTTAAACTTGGCCCATTGGATCACACAATTCTTCACATGGTCTAAACAATGGTGCAACTCATAAACAACTGTACCCCAGTCCTTTTGCACCATCCAGATTCAAAACCAAGCACTGCACTGGTAACTCCTGAGCACAACCATTCCAAGCGTTTATCTGCTTGAAATGCTTCAAGACCCAGCACAGATCTTTCTTTCAATGTAGATCAGAGGTGTAATATGCTTGGCTTCACACACAGAGATCTGTGTTGTTAGCCAAAGCTTCTCCCTTGTGATTTCTCAGCCAATATCTGGCTGAGATTATTCCAATGTCGCAGGTACAAGGTGATAAATGTACTCAGGGACCTCGATACCCAGACGAATATCTTGTCCCTGATCTAGAAAAGCAAGGTAACAAGTTCCTCATGGCATCTAATTATACATCCCTGTTCAACCACGGGTTTCACTGTAAGCCATGATCATCTTGATAGGATACCTAACAGTTTCAAGAGGCTTACTGCTGTCCCATGATTCATGGACTTTATCCGTGGATGCCTGCTCTCTTTGCATGGGAAATAGCTCTGACTGGCAGAAGTTGTCCACCAGCTAGTCATGGGTGTTCTTGCTAGAAATGGAGCTGTGGTATTCTAGCTTATAACTTATAAATCTCAGAGTCTTGCAGATACCTTCCAAAGCGGTCTCAGATTCACCAGACACCATTCCACCTTCGTAATCCTCAGTCGTCCGTTGTGCCGAGACTAATCCTTAAAGTATGGTTTGATTTACCAATCTGGATACAACAGAAGTCAACCAATTTTCTAAATCTGCGGTTGTAAGCTCATTGATGTCAGGGGTCTTTCTCTTAAGGCGGTGGATGTTAATGGCTGGCTAATTTTCCTCCAGTCATCAGTTCAAAATTAAGGACATTTATCTTTGAACCTTAGGGTCTCTAACCTGACCGTTTAGTTTATGTGGATATCATTAAGTAAACACTATATTTATTGCGAGCATTCCTTCACTTTATGTAAATCGTGTACCTAAATGTAAGTATATCAATCTAAATTAACTTATTCCAAGTACAAATTCTAGATTACTTGTATTATGCAATAAGAATCTTGGCGCTAAAATTATGTGAAAAATATCCATTGATGTATAAAAAAATATACATATACAGTCTTGTTTAGAAACTAACGCTCTGTCTTATTTGGAGGCTTATGACATTCTTCTATTGCAGTTCTTGTGACATTACGATAAATAACAGCTATTTCTTAATTGTACAATTTAACGTAATTTCCATCTAACTAATACATTTACTGCGAGTATTAACTAACTGTCAACTGCAGATCTTTATTCGTATTGTTTCAGTTGTTCACAGGATAATCACCAACAGATACGACGTGCATAACTGGATCAATTGTGGATTAAGCACGTCATGAAGGACTGAGAAAAACTCGAGTCCTCGCAGTCAGGGATTTCCCATTAGAAAAAAAAAGCAGGACAGGGCATCAAGTTACTTTTCAAGCTATTTGATAGTGCAATATAGCCGAACAAATAAGCTTCTTTAAAAAAAAATAAAAAAATGAAGCTCGCACATGGTCTTTTTACCCTCCTTCTCCAGATGATTAGATTCTGACATTTACTAGTAGTTTTAAAACGATAATCTAAAGAAAGTTAAACAATTTAGTTGACAGAGCAATTTAGTAGTTAAACAAGAAAAGAATAACTTAAAACTAGGCTAAAAAATTTTGAAGCATCCAAATGTAAAGGAAGGTCATTGATTCCAAGACACCAGATACCCGCAGGGTCTGAAGAGTTGTCACCCAGAAAATATCTTCATAATGGCATGTAGCTGAAAATTAGTAGAAATTCGACGAGGCTATACAAACGGTTAATGTCAAACGACTTTTCGGGCATTGCCCTTTGTTCACAAGAAAGTACGACAGGTTTGATATAAATGACAGACATATCATTATTCAACTACTCGTAAAGCTTGGAAATCATTATTAGTTTTCAGTTTCACGAGCAAGTGACTATTTCATGTTTTTATCACTAATCAAGACGTAAAGCAAACATGTGGTACAGAAGAAATCGAGAAACTGTAGTAAACCCCACGCTTGCTATGTCTTTTCGTTTTTTTTTTTTTATTGTTTCTAACACCATGCGACCGTGCATTTTCACATATACTAGATCCTATTATTTCAATACTGAGAAAATGACGTAGGTCCGAATAATCAGAAAAAAATATATACCTCCACTTGGAGACCGGTGTCCATTAGGTGGATTATTTCAGAATTTATTACAAAGCAACACTATGTAGTTGTGCATAACACTCCCCAGTTATGAAGTGAGAACCTAACGGAAGGCAGCTAGTTAACAACACCCACCGCCAACTCTTAGATAATCTTATCTGATCGAATAACTGGATTTGAACGTTACTCTTATAGAGCACCCACGGTCCCAAGATGCGGATCACGTTTATCCGATAACCGGCCGTGAACCATAAATCCTAGGATTCACAGTCGAGGCACGATAACCACTAGGTCATGCCTGATCCCATCCCAGACAAATACTCTAATTACAGTGAATTTTAAGAGATAATTGTAGTTCGCCTTATAAGGACAGGAAGTATGTCGAATCGTAATTAATTGTGTATTAAACTTCTCTGGAAACTTGATATCACACGGTATCTCACTTACTCTCCTTACATTTGATAATAATAAACACATGCTCTGTTTCTCGTGTGTTATGTAAGTGTACGTTGTGAAAGAAAACTTAAGTTTTACAATATATAAATATATACATAGGGTGATATAGTGTTCTTGTTCGCTGATTTTCTAAGTCTGTATCTTAGCATACATTTACGGGATGAGTTAGCGAAGCATGTACTGCACATCAACAAGTGAAAGTTGAGCGTGCGTTAGGGAAAACTGGGATGAAATATTGCGTTCTTCGGACTGAGAATACATATAGGCCACAGACGTGCCGGCGCCAAACGCCACTAGGTGGTAGTGGTGTCTCCTGGAATCCGGGCTCTACGGCTGCTTAGACACGTCCTCGTTCTCATGATGTGGATAGTTTTGTAAGTACGTGTGTATGTGTGTGTCTGTACGTTTAGATTGGTCAAGTTATAAGTGCAGATCACACAAAAATAATTTCCTTAGATAGGCGTCCGGTCTTATTTTTGTTTTGTTGTTGTTCCTTGTGTCCATATATTCTACATCAAGTGCCGTAAAAAAAAAAAAACTTTAAGCTCAACAAAACCAAAACCACAAAGTAATGTACCGTGATAACTGTCATTGAGTATATCTTACACTTGTATCATTTAAAAATGTGACTTAATCCGTTCCTCTCGTAGCAGACTAACGAATAGAAACAAACGTACTTGTGGCTATCATATTGATCTGCACGAGCTGCAAGGTCGTCTATCTGTTTCAGCTGCTCTGAAAAGCTGTTTGTCGCGATATCACACGTTTCAGAACACGACATCTAAAACCAATTTCGTGTTTTTCGTCTGTATTCATAGGTTGTTTTTATGGGGTTTTTTAGACGAAACTAGTTGATTAAGACAGAGTTTGATTACAACCTGCCATACAAAACAAGGAATTATAGATTGTTAAATGTTGGTTAATTCCTTCTTTTCAAAGTAAACACGAATAGTTGTTGATAGAGAAAATTAGTCTGAGAAAATTATGAGGACGAACGGTTTGTTTGTTATGGATTTTGCGTAAAGTT